CAGGGTGAAGGGGTCAACACGGTTCGCTGATCGTTCAGGTTGTCTGCAGCAGGTAGCTCGTTTAGAGTCCGAGTTTGGAAACGTTAATCACATTCGTATCTTACGGCTTTTGCTTCCTCAAAACAGTGTTACTGTCGTTTACAATGTTGATGTGACCTACAGTTTTGCCGAGTGGTCACTACATCAGTGCGACTCGAACGAACAACTGTGCGACGATAAGTTAGCTGTTGGATTCTGGAACAGGATAGGAAGATTTGTCCAGACAGATGGAGTTCCCATTCAACTCTAACGGAGGGTGAAAAATTCTTTGATTTTAAAGACCCGCCGCTTATATGACCGTTTACACCTAGATGTTTGTCTTTTGCGATCAGAATTGCCGTGGTCGGCAGCGATTAGAACAGCTAGCTCTAGGTGCTCGGATGACAGTATGAGGGAGTCGTCAACGGAAACGGATTACGCCTTATTGACCTTGGCGCGATTAAGGGTCTCGCTTTCGGTGATTTGACACTTCCACACAAGCGATATACAGGACGAAACATGCATGAATTAAATCATCCACAAGCGCAGCGCGCACATATTTAAGAACATAGGTAAACATATTTAAAAAATTGACTTTACAGCTTGTACAGGGTATCAAATCACATAATCGAATGGCAGGTCGGTTAAAGACAGTTTCAGCTCTGAGGTTACGCACCAGATAGCATGTCATATACTTCATGCACGTATGATCACCCACGAACAACATGTTATCCTTATCGTTCGCAGATCGACAGTTTGTTACTCCTTTCTCGGTTGAGAGTTGATGCATCGACGCAGAGCAGTGAATTCCTTGCTCAACAGAATTAATAGTTAGGCGCGGAAAGTTCTACCGTTTTCTAAAAACAGTCCAACCTCCTATCCACTGTCCTAGACAGTAAATTTTACAGGTTCGTGATATCACATTGATGATACGACACAGTGGTAAGAAAACGAATTTTGTAATCGTTATAAAGTTAGTCTTCCCTACACGTTCATGAGAGCCAGTTCTAGCTCCCTTCTTACCATGAATTTAATGGTAGGATACTGATCTCCATTTCCATGCCATCAGCCAAGAGTGCACAGCAACTATTTGGCAAGCACAGTGCAATCTCCTGTTTCTGTTCAACAAAATGGCACTACTAATTTTTCTACCGAGGAACACTTGTAATCCAACTTAGGCTGGAATTCAGGATTTGTCAGTTTTCAATACGACGCTCTACCGACAGAGCTACCCTCGTTCATGACAGTGGAAAGAAGTCAGTTTCGAATCCGACAAAATAAATTATTTCCTTAACCACTAATTCCACTGAACAAAGAACTCACCCCGCCCCACCTTGCTCACTGCAACCAGTTGAAAAACAAGCCGCAAATTGTTCCTTGCGAACAAGAACATGAAATTCCGCTGATGTGGTTGCATATCAGAATGGGCAAAAACTGCAATTCATCTCTGCCTACCTTAGAGCTGCCTATCAAACAACGTGTAATCGTTGTTTTCCATCAAGATAAAATTAAAGTAATATCATACTTTGCGTAAAGAATCATGCTGAAGATCCTGTCATCCTATCAATAACCACGAGCAGAATCAATCACAAATCTTGCACTGAACAGTATCTACAAAATTCAAACAAAATTTCAGTCTGTTTATCGACATACAAAGTCAATAATTTGCATCGATTTTGTTGTCATAATCATCGGAGGTACCAAGGTCGAAGACCGAGTACTCAGATAAATTTGACGCTTTGGCTTCTCAGGATGATTTAGGCGATGTTGGCTGCTGCGGCAAAGGTCATCACCTCGTCGCAAGCAAATCCGCCTCTAACATAATGTTATAGCGTGCCATGTTGACCTCCGATGTGTCTGCAGCCATCGTTTGCTTCCTAGATAAGAATGGTTTCGGAAAGATCTCCATTCTCTCACTGGACGGTTCGATAAAAACATGACAGTCCGTTTGCATCGTGGTAAAACAATTTTTACAGTACTTCCACTAATGCGTCAAGAACAAATGTTCAGTGCGGTTCTGTGCGAAAATAATGAAACCAGTCCATTAACTGCAAAATAATTTTTATTTAAAGCAATTTCACTTTCAAATATTACCATGTTAATTAATCTTCGTCATGTTCGTGTGCAAAAATTTCATTTTCTTCCAAAAATTCAGCGCCGCTTTTTGCAAGCAGGCCTCCGATTAAAAGCCCTGCAAAGGTCACCGAAGAAACTTTAAGAAGTCCAAAGCGTAGTTTGAATGGTTGTTCTGCAACGAGTCCATCATTCCTGACCGCAGCTGTCGAGAACATTCTAGTGATTTGAAAAACACGTGACAATAAACCGCGAAACATGGCGAAGGAAGCAACGGAAGAAAACATTATTTTTCCAACGGGTGGTAATTCAGCAATTTTTCGATCAGGTCGACGTGCGACAACAGCATTCGACGACAGCAGTAGCGTTTCAAACCGAGAGCATCCAAAGCATCACTAAAATAAGAACAAAAATTACTTCTTTTAATTCTTAGAACGTTTTTAGTAACTAATTACAAAGGTAATTACATTGGCAAAATAACTCATATCATCCACAACTGCGTTTACAAGAAAGCGATGGTAAGATTTAGCCCGTAAGCTCAAGAAAACTGACCTGTATCAGGCATTCTTATCTGAAGACGATTTGCTTTGATTGTTCTTTATCATTCAGATACATGTCATTAACTACGAGAAAGTACAAGGTTGGTCTACTTTCTGGACTTGGATAGCGTAGAGACCGAAACACTTTGAGGATAAATGTTTACAGGAAGTCTGAGCACATAAGAAAGCGAGTCAGTTACTACCGGTACCTGTAATAGCTTCACTAATACGAAACATTTACCTCAGGATAATGACGAAATGCTCAAATTTCATAATATTCCTACAGCAGATCGGCACCTTCGTCAACAAACTGCATAAAAACTTAAAAGAAAAGGGAAGTTCTAGAAGACATGATTGTGGAATGAAAATTCGCAAGAGAAACAAACAAACAACAGTGTGCGTTCATCTCCGTTTGAGTACTCCAGCTACGCAGACATACTATAATAATCGGTTGCTTGACCACTGAATGAATTATTTAACTGTCTTCATATTACAATTCACAAACACTTTTCTCCCTCACTGTCTAAACCACGAATGTTGTACCAATGAAGGCTCTATTCACAACGGAGAGAGAGACTGCAATACGTGCGGTTCACCCTGCGAGGTCTCTCGGAATTTTGTTCTTCCCTGGATAGTATACTCAAGTCATACTCAAGAACCAGCATCAAACTAAATTTAGTGAATGGAAATTATTGATCTATTTCAATAATTTATTAATTTTCATTTAAAGTCGGTGACTGGTTATGTTTTAAACTCTTTCTGAAATACATACCGTTTACTTCAAACTGGCACTAAGGTTATAACAAATAATTAATTATCAAAAGCGGCTACTCAACGTCGCACAGGTCTGAAGTAAATTGTAATGGAACTTCCTGTGTAGTAAGAGACGACCCGGCCTTTATGCTGCAAATAGAATCCGATTTTACAAGATGCATTGCTCCTGGTCTGTCTATACTAACACCACCTTCCCAAAACCAAGCCATCAACATTGAACCAATCGAAAGTCGTCATCCAAACTTTTTCAGGTTGGGCTAAACCCACAGGGAGTCGCCAGCTTGAGTTGCATGTTCTAGCAGATCGTATTTCGGAATCAAATGCTTGCACACTACCTGATTCCGAATAAACAAATAAAATATGAACAAGTAAATGCAAAATGTTATATTAAACCAGAATCTAGATCTCACTGAAGCCATTTTTGAAAAGCATCTGTTACCAAGACAAAATCGCTAATTCATCACTTAGCAAACAACAGCAAAACAACAATAAAAATAATACCCTTCTGTGTATTCTGCTTGAAGCAAGCCCAAATACGCTTCCCACTTATTTCCGATAACTTTACCACAGGTAAAGCAACGAATAGGTATGATCATCGCGAACAGCAGCAACACACGCGTTTGTAAGATACAGTATAGATATCAAACTAATGTAGGTAATATAAATTTTCTTATGGCAATATCTTTTTGTAGCGTTGCAGATAGACTTGAATATTATCCTGTACATTAATTCTGTTATGATAAACGTGTATAGATTTCAACTTGGTTGACATCTGTTTAAATTTTAATATTTACTTATTCATGCCAACAGTAACTTTTCCAATAACACAGATAAATGCTTAAAAAATTTTGACCATCCTAGGGGTCTGACACAACAGAAAATCCAATTTTCCTTCGATTAGTGATTGCATAGCCGAAGAGAATAAACATACAGTTGTACCTACTGGCAGTTTCTGTTCACAACGAAACCCCCATTTGATATAGATACTTTCTTCTTTAAATTCGAAATATTTATCGCAATTCAATATACCACTTTATTCATGCTTTATAGGTTTATTGTGAAATTGTGAGACTGAATGATTCTAGAATAAGATTTGTTACTATGAACGTTATGCTGAAATTAAAGATGCGTGAGACAATTTCTAAACTTTCGATCTTTAGCAAAAATAATACGACTTGCAGAACCATGCCAGTAAGCGCAGTGGTGGCATTGATTAACAAGAATATCTAAATGCTTAATATCCGTTTTGTTGACAAGTGTGGTGGTTCATGATCGCGCAGTGGATCAGTTGATGACTCTGTAGAAAGCGCTGTTCATTTATTGTATATATTCATGACTATGAGACTTTTATTCAGTAAATCAGCTGTTCACTAGAAAAAATGTGACGTCGTTTGGCATGCTGACTAAGGAAAGAAATTTTATGCCATCAGTACATTTCATTCAAATGGTAATGTTCCTATGTATAAGCAGCTGATGTAAAGAACGAATTGCATATGACCGCCATGATCAATGCACAGATTGGTAAATGATGAAAGACACACTGTTGCCTGGCTACCAAGGAGAAAAATCTATCTATGCCCCGAGAATAAATTGCAAACAGCCTTATGATGAATAGATCGACGCCGGGAAAAATTCCTGCTTCAGCGAAGAATTGCAGATAACATTGTTTTACACGAGCTTTAATTCTAGATGTTTCTAACAATCGGCAGAAATTCTTGCAAGTGTTGCTACTTCAAATCAAGCTGTAGCAGATATTAAGGATTTGGGTGGTAAAAAAAATATCTGTGGGCGGTCAGTTCTATCAAAAATCAGTAGCACATCTGAACGATGGAATAAGTTTGAATTTATAAGATTTTCAAAAGTTGATGCAAAATTTTTTAAATAACTACAATGGAATTTTGATGTACTTTACCACTGTGACTCGTAGTTTACAACTATTGGTATCTGAGAGTAAAATTGGTTACATATCTGCAAATCTATTGGAAAGGATAAATATTGTGCAATTTTATTCCCCTCCACAGTTTAGAATGGAAGGGCATATAAAGGACAAAATAACGCCAGAACCAAAAATCAAAATTAATTGGAAAACGAATAAAAACACGAAACAAAATATGGTAAACAGGATTATGACAAAACAATGGAAGGCAGATTTAGGTCAGCTGTAAGTTTCCCTGACCAATTCATTCTACTATGTATTCGTTTCTTTGGCAGCTTCCGGAATACTATAGTATTTCCAGCTAAAATCATTATGGACTGTTCTCGTTGAGCGTTACAGTTTTTCAGGTAACTAGCGATTACCAAGAAGGAGAAACAGAGTGATAGCGTCAAGTTTCACTTACCAAAGTGCATACTGCAACTTGCACAAGACGGTTAACTTCAGTATTAAATATCATTATAATTTTTCGAAACGGATACCGTTTTTGTTTCTATCCCCATAGATCGAACCGTGTTGGCCAACCTGTCCTCAGGATTTCTCCAGCAGTTTCTGGTAGCGGCTCTTTCACTTTTCCGCTGAGTGATGGAAAACCCATTCGATTGTTTTTATGATTGACCTACACGTACAATAGACTCATCGGTGACACGTTCTTTCAGTCATTTCCGTAAGACAGCTATTTGCAGTCTTGTCTTCTTAAGCTGCGGTCCTTTTTAAGTCACGGATTGTTGACTCCATACAGTTTCATTAGCTGTGTCCCCATGCAATTCATACGATACCTCTGAGATCAGTTTTTTCATTGAACTTTTATTCGATGGAGACTTGCAAACCGTCTCACTCTCATAGCCATTGATAAAATGATTTGTCCTTGTGTTAGCGTCCCTTAAATAGGGAAAACTGAAACGAAATGTTGTTTTTCACTTGTTCCAAGAAAGTTTCATTTCTATTTAATCTTCTGATAACTTTTCTAAGTTGTTCCTGAATGAAATCATCCGGGTGCAATTTCGTCTGAATTCACTGAAAACCCGTATTCCACCAGTGAAGTGAAGCACCATCGGCAAATAGCATCATGTTCCTTAAATGCAAAACTTGAATCAAACCCACTCTCAGATATACGTAGCATCGAAATCCACAATTTATGTTATTGTAGCAACCGCCATAGTAGAATTCCCAGATTGTTGACCACATCTTTGCTGTGCAGAAGATTCGTTGCCACTAGCAACTTTGTTTGCAGAAATACAATGTGTACAATATACACAGAAATTTCGCTACGTATCACTGTTTGCTGGTCAACCACTTCATGTTGCAACGTTTGGATCTTCTTTGGATGCTAGTGCCAAGGTACGTGCACCCAGCACATTCCTCGTCTGCCGTGGTCAATACCTGCCAGTCCTGTTAATCCCTGAAAATTATAACCTGGGAATTACTCTGGTTGAGTCATACCATTCATCTAAACGAAGGCCTGTGAGAATCGAGTCGTACCATCCATCAACTTCAGGCCCTTGCTCAGATGTAGTGCAGCAGTGACCAATTATCGGCGGCCTGTGAAGCTTGAATTTTCGCAATGCATCCCTGGCCTGTTAAGATCGTGGCCCGTTCAACGCGTGCTGGGTTTCTTAAGTACATTAGCTCAATGCAGTCTTTCCATTACAAATGCACTTTATTAATCATATTCTGAAACAGAGCGCTTGGAAGATTTTCCCAAAGATTTTTGAGAACGATGATGTCAATTTCATTTCCCTCTACCCCATAGGAATCACAATGCTACAAAAACAAGGACTCTTCAAAAACATCATCTAAACCTATTTGAATACTGGGTTAGTAGTGAAGCAAATCGGATTCTATTTGCTTAAGTTGTTATGGAAGTCTTTTGATCGATGAATATTCAACAATGCTTTTCTTGAAATGGAAGAGAACTGAGTCAGAGTTAAGCAGTTAAGGGGAGAAATATATATATACTCACAGACTCTGATCGATAACATAAGCAGAGGAGTGGAAATATCGATGATTAAATGTTATTGTTTATGGAACAGCAAATATCTTATAGAAACTCAAATCATGGAGAAAGAAGATATCGGCTGAAAGTCGCAATTTC